TAAAAAAAAAAAAAAAAAAAAAAAAAAGAAACGGTACGACACGTGATCGTTAACCAGACGAAATAGAATTAGCCCTTTTACGTGTCGACATATCGTTCGATTAATGTTCTAAACGACCTGCGTATATGGAATCTCGATCATTTTTTTTTGTTTTTTTTTTTTTACTTTTACGAAGTCACGTATTTCGGTTATAAAATAAAAAAAAAAGTTCCCGCCTGTACGTTTGTTTGTTTGTTTGCTTTTTTTTTACAAATATATGAATGTATGTATATATACATACATACAAGTTTGCCCCACTTTCCGTACTTATTCCTCATCTACACGTTTTTTTTTTCTTGTTTTTGTTTTTACTATCTAAGACCTAACACATTAACAACCCCCCGTAGGGCGATACCGTTAACCACGGCACTTCTTAAATCCCGTGCGATCCCCTCTATATCAACTATACGTAGCAATATGCCAATAGCCAAAATAAACGCCGAACTTTTTCTAAAACAAATGTACAGCTAGAAGTCGTATCGATATCACGATCGATTATGAGGTACGTATTATCGATCATCGTCGTTATTGTAGATACAGAATCTTATTGATTCCCAATCAATAGTAAAATATGGATCTTTATTTCTTCTTTCTTCTCTTATGCGTCCACGTTTAAAAATAGATTCAACATCTTTAGAATTCTATTGTTAATAGTTAATTAAATTGTGTGACTCATACGGAGCATCGCGATTCATGGAGCTATATGGTCGTGATGGTATCTCTCAACATATAATAATATCATTTATCGTCAAATATTATATATACGTGATTTCTTGTTTAACGAAACACCCCATTCCCCTATATCGAACGCGTTAGAGATACCGTCGCGAACTAGTAAAACTTTTTTTTAGTTGTCTAGAACGGGAAAACGTGAAGTATACGGGTAATACTTGATTACCCTTCGGTATACTAACCGCAATAGTGTTGTCGTTACAATTTACCGCATTTCGTAATTAGAATATTCTTCGTAGGCTTGCCCGTTTGATCGCCAAATGTAGATATCTTCTCAACTAATTCTAAACCTTCGACAACGTGGCCAAAAATTCCGGTGAATCCGCGCATCTCTTGCAGTATTATACGAAACTGTGAACCCACCATACCGAGATTATCGTGCCGTTTTTGCGTTCTCCGCATTCCGACTGCTCCTCTTACTGCAGGAAATTTCGTGTCATCCGGCATAAAATATCCATCCCCAAATATGCTTCTTCCTCCGCGACCATTGTTCAATTCGAAATCACCAGTGATTACGGATTCACCCTCCCAACACTGAAATATAGTGCAACCCTTGTAACCGACTCCAACTTCACCGGTTGCAAGTACATTAAAATTTTTGGCCATTTTCGGCGCTGCATCTGGCTTCACTTCTATCACGATACGGCCATGTGGAGATCCGTTCACTTCGATATTGAAATAATATAGAGGATAAGGATTCGAAGGTCCCCGAAGGGATGCTGCTATTCCGCTGGACGGCGGTTGAGAGGACGAGTGGACGGTTACCAAACTTCCGCCACCAGTACCGACTCCTTCCGGTATAAATGTCGATTGTTGTTGAGGATGTAGCATCGCGTTCGGAGGTGCGGGCGGAACGGGTTTAACGGACGGCGAACCAGGTGGAATGAGAAGTTGCTGCGGGGTTCCCGGCGGCGGTGGACCTTGATGTACATGAACGGAGCCCGGTGGAGCTGGTTGCGGCTGCATCATGCTCGAATGGTACTCAATAGAACCGTTTTGCAGATGTTGTTTACTAACTACATGTCTCGAATACAGCTGTGACATGCAATAATTTGCAAGGAACAATATCGGGTTTTGAGAAGCCGCCAAATGATTGGGCAATCGACCACCGTTACTCGTCCCTTGAGAAACGATCGGTTCCCCCGTGTGGATTCCAGCTAACGCTTGTTTTAGTAATGCAAAATCAAACACCACACCCGAGTTCCCAATTAAATCGTCGAGCTGGCACTGCAACATCATTTCTTGATACTTCGATTGCAATCTTTGTTTCTCTATTATGAGTTGTGAATGCAAACTGTATACATCGCTAGGACTGTCGATCATCTGCAGACTAGCTTTCGCTTTCCCAAGTGTTTCCCGTGCGTCCGTTATCTCGGGAAAATGACTCCAGCCATTCTGAAGATCAGTCTCGACGTGCGTTTTCAACGTTACACAAGCTTCCAACACTTTTATTAAAAATTCTCGTTGTTGCATAGCCAGTCTTTGAATCTCGGTCGATAACTTTCCCATAGCAACTAACTCCAATTGAACCTAGAAAAAGATTGACACGCATCTTCCTACTTACATTGTCGAAAGCTATACATCGACTATTTATATTTTTTTTTCACACGCAAATGTATATATACATACAAACCTAAGATAGAAATGAAAGAAAATGTACCAGCAAATAAAAATAAATGAAAAACTTACGTCGGATATGAGCTGTTCTTTGGCATCAGTTTGCGATTTTATCTGGTGACCTGGATGTTCCTGTGGAGTGGCACATGCTCTACAAAGTGCTGTGCAGCATGTTGCACACCATAATGCCAGAGGCATTCCGTGCGTGTGACAATTCTCACTCTGTAAAAAATAATTATGGTGATCATAAATTTCGTACCTTTTCTTATTTTAATTCATACAAAATTATCTTTTCACGTGGTAATACGACATAGCATCTATTCGCGTATAAACCCTAGCAAGCAAAAAAAAAAAAGAATTTTAAATATAAAAATGATACTTTATATTTTAAAAAATAACCATTCCAGACCTTATAACATAATCCTATTACTATTAGAAGCTATCTCCGATATGGCTTCATAGCTGCATGCTTTCTTTACCATTTGCGTATGAACTGACAATGTGAATAACCGGCCGATGAACCAGAAATTTATACAGAAAATTTTAACTCTCATGTACCTTTCTCTCCTTGTCGTTCGTCTTTCCAGATGTGTTGTTCGTGGTAATTTTTAAGTGAGACAGATTGTTCGTTAGTACAAGGAGAGAAGAATGCGTCGGTAGAGCGTCTGGTCCTTGATCACCCAGGTCTGTCCTCTTCCAACAGTGCGCGCAAAACAACTCACGTCCCTTTAAGAAATTATTCTCTATGCAACGCAGACAAAAGTAATGCTTGCAACTAAGATATTTTGGGCATTGTTCCGCGTCGTTATACTTCTGCTTGCAATAACTGCAAAGCGTCAGTTCCTCTAAATCCGTTAATACACTTGGATCCAGCATCTGAAAAACAACAACAAAATAGTTTTTACTAATTATTCGTTATTCTTTGTACACACACACGCGCGCAAGCGCACCGAGAGAGAGAGAGAGAGAGAGGGGGGGAGCAAAAACTATTTGTGTAATTCAATTTTTCCAATTTCCTAGAAAATTAAACAAAAGGAAAGAAATTCGTAATATTCGAAAGAACGGAAGTTTGAATTAAGTGGAATTACAAACTCGTTTCGTTAAATATTACCGTACTATTTAGAAAAATAGTGTGAAGGTCAAGCTTAATATACCTATTCGTATAAGTGATAAACGGTTCAACAGTTGAATGATATATTTTCTTTCTTTTCGTCTTTTTCTATCTATTTGACTTTCTCCCTTCTATTAAGCAATATTACTTGTTATCTTTATAAAATAAAGGATAATGTAAATTTAAATTCATTGAAAGAAAACCGTTGTTTGTTAAAGTATATCATGTGCTATATTATGCTCTCATACAAAACGCATACAAATTATTTCAACTGTAGTTCAAACGATATAGATATTTATTTAATTAGTAGTACATACATATTTCTTATTCTTGTTTGTAAGATACTTTCTACAAAATTTCTTTCGTTTAATGTTTATCGCGTTTCGATATATCATGTAAAAGTACTTGAAAACATCTTCCTTTGAAGTAAACGTATGAATAGCGAGAAAACACTACTGTTTTCCTTTCTTTTTTTTTGTCAACAAAGTGACATAAATAGAAGACTCGGAAACAAAGGAATGACCGAATTCTTCAGTACAATATGGATTATATCCAGAATTCTTCTATTTCATTCCCTCTTTTTTTTTCCCGCTGTCGTAAAACTGTTTCGTGACACCCGGCATAAGTTCATTCGTATTATTTCACAGCATTGTCTTTGTGCACGAACTTGTCCCCAAAAGGTTAGCTTCTTATCTTACACATTGACTACAACGAGCAAAGTTATTATGCAACAATTTGGCTGACACTACCGAAACATAAAGAATGACATTTCATGCGAGAACGCGCATGCGTTGAAAATCCCGCCAAAACGTAAGGAGGTCAGACAGTCGAAGTTTTGAGATTTACCATCCTTTAATGAGAAAATGTTCAAAGAGGAAGGTAACTAATAGGGGTGGAACATACAGAGTGGTCACAATTCTTTACTCTCCAAAGCATTCGAAATACCAATACGCGCAACCGATAAAACCCCCTGTCGTATGATATATGGATTCTTGCAGCTTATCGCCAAGTTCCCTGCGCGATATTACGCTGTCACTACTCGTGACAAGTCCGCGTTCAAGTAAAAACGACTTGTGAACTACTGCGTGTCAGGCAAATTCCGCGGGAATATTGTAGTTTGTTCTCGCTCGTACCATTTCTATGTTGTACGTGCACGCTTGTTTTTTCTTTCTCTACCTCATTCTCACTTTCGCTTATCAATCCATTACTCTTCTTCCATTCTCTCATTCTATCTTATCCACATATACACGCGCATACACTCCATCTTTTCTTGTACTCTCTCACACTAACACGCAACACACGCGAGAGCGCGCATGTACGCGATCACACACACATACATGATACATATGCATTTTCCTTATCACACATACAAATGGATGCGGGCGCGCGCACATACACGCACACATAACGTCCATACTCTCTCTTCCTCTTTCTTTCGTTGGATTGTAGAACCGTAAATGTTCCGTACCGTGTATACGATTCGTGATCGTCTCCTTGCCGCGCGATGGAGGCTGATCGTTGGCACTCGTCACTCCTAGCGTGTACCGTGACGATGATTATTCCGTAACGTTTGCTCAGATGTATGATTTGACTTTAATTTACATCGGGATTGACGTAGTGTTGTGCGGTTCTGCACGCAAGAATCGAGCACCTCGACAGTTTCGTCGCCGCTGTTGCCTTAGAGCTTTTACCAAGCTATTTTGTACTTTTCACGTTACGTGTTTACGCTTATCGAACGTCGTGAGTTATTATGGATAACATAACGACGGCGCGCCGGTAACGCGGCGTTATTTCAGTCTTAGCTCGTGCGAACGTTTTGCCACATCATGATGTTTGGTTCACTAAACTAACCACTAGCATGGCGGCGACGACCGACCGACCGACCGACCGACACACACCACAGCGCGCGCTAGTCGCTTACGCTGTTGCTCTCCTCTCCTCGTCCCGTATCTTACCCCCTCCTAACAATTCCAGAGCTCCCTCCTTCTCTTTCTCACTCTCTTCTTCTGTCTTTCTCCTTCCTCTTTCTTATACACTTTCAGTTCGACTCGTGGCAAACGGTGCCGGTTGTCGTCTGCGGCTTCTACCATTGCGCGCGCATTTCTCGAACGATTCCAAGCACGAGCATTATGGACCTGCCTTCATAAACCTTTTCGTAAACCTTGTTGTACCTGCTCGAATTGACCAATGAAATTGTCCAGACTTTACTTGACTTCAGTACAAGTCAGGAACGTCGTAACACAATTATTACAGCGCGTTTTTGAAATACTTTGAAATAGTATTTATTAAATCTTTATTGTTTATCTATATTTTGCAATACAAAGTATTTGCGAACCAATAAAAGTGCAATTATTTTACATAATGTAATGAAATAAAAATTATATTACAATGAAATCAAAAAATTACTTTTCAAATTTTATTTTTTGTTGCCATTAGGAAAAAGATTCTTATGGAAATGAAGTGTCAAGGCTAGCAAGACCTCTGCCGGTAGAATATTTATTGGTAGATGTACCTGCATCTACACCACTTACTCCGCAGTTTACTTTTTATGTTAGTGATAAAATTACTCCATTTCCAATTGAAAATAGGTATGTAAAAGATATCAGTAAAATATAATATTGTTTTTATAAAATAGTTTATACAAATATAAATTTTAATTCTAGACTCATCGATGGACATGTTCAAGAATTTAGTTCACTTTGCTCTTATATGCAGCAATTTAGTAAAGAGCAATTTTTAGAAGCAGCTTCAGATTTCCACTTGTTAATTTTTATTGCAACAATGGATATGTTTCCAATGAAGGTACAATATGTTTTCTTTTAAACGTTTATCTATTCAAAAAGATTTTTTATTACTCTAAAATGTGTTTGTTTCTTAAGGACCATATGATACCACTATTAGAAGCAATTCGTAATAAGGATAGAGAAAAAGCACTGGAATGGACACGTTTAGAACATTGGGCAACAGTAGAACAACTCATATCTGTAACTACGGCATCTACATCTCAAACAGGATTTGGTACTAGGTCAAGAATGTCATCTTCTGCACTTGCAGAAGGAAGTGGAATAGGAGTTGGTACAGATCCAATTGCCAATTCACCTCCTGACCAAACACTTTGGACTTGTTCTCATTGCACCTTTCTCAATGCAGCAGATTTTGCAATGTGTGAAATGTGTGGTTTACCAAGGAATACATAACAAATTGCCAATATTATATTGCTTTTGTATGCATTTAAGGGTGCTATCCTTAAATTGCAACTTTGTTTCCGCTGAATTTGACACAAACTGTGTTCTTGCGGATATAAAAATTGTTTTCAGCACATATTTGGCTTTATTTATGAGTGAATAAAAAAGGAAAAAGTATCTTTTATTGAAGTATACTTTCTAGTTTTCCTTTTTATAATTACCCTTTACTGTGTGTCTAATCATAAATAGCATGAAACTGCAAAATGTAACTAGTTTTTTTGTATTAACATTATATTTCATTTTAACTAATTATACTGTGAATTATTATGATTACAGAAATTATAATATTTATGTGATAACAATTAATACGTTTACATTAAATATTTAAATGTTTAAGCTATTAATCTATATAACTAAATATGAAAATAAATTGAAGCAAAAAA